TATTGTGGAGCAGCGTTGTTGACTGTTGTACCACTGTTGTACCAGTTACTGGAGGTAAATATTGTGGAGCAGCGTTGTTGACTGTTGTACCACTGTTGTACCAGTTGCTGGAGGTAAATATTGTGGAGCAGCGTTGTTGACTGTTGTACCACTGTTGTACCAGTTACTGGAGTAAATATTGTGGAGCAGCGTTGTTGACTGTTGTACCACTGTTGTACCACTGTTGTACCAGTTGCTGGAGGTAAATATTGTGGAGCAGCGTTGTTGACTGTTGTACCACTGTTGTACCACTGTTGTACCAGTTGCTGGAGGTAAATATTGTGGAGCAGCGTTGTTGACTGTTGTACCACTGTTGTACCAGTTACTGGAGGTAAATATTGTGGAGCAGCGTTGTTGACTGTTGTACCACTGTTGTACCACTGTTGTACCAGTTACTGGAGGTAAATATTGTGGAGCAGCATTGTTGACTGTTGTACTACTGTTGTACCACTGTTGTACCAGTTGCTGGAGGTAAATATTGTGGAGCAGCGTTGTTGACTGTTGTACCACTGTTGTACCAGTTGCTGGAGGTAAATATTGTGGAGCAGCGTTGTTGACTGTTGTACCACTGTTGTACCACTGTTGTACCAGTGCGGAGGTAAATATTGTGGAGCAGTGTTGTTGACTGTTGTACCACTGTTGTACCAGTTGCTGGAGGTAAATATTGTGGAGCAGCGTTGTTGACTGTTGTACCACTGTTGTACCAGTTGCTGGAGGTAAATATTGTGGAGCAGCGTTGTTGACTGTTGTACCACTGTTGTACCACTGTTGTACTGTTGTACCACTGTTATACCAGTTGCTGGAGGTAAATATTGTGGAGCAGCGTTGTTGACTGTTGTACCACTGTTGTACCAGTTGCTGGAGGTAAATATTGTGGAGCAGCGTTGTTGACTGTTGTACCACTGTTGTACTGTTGTACCACTGTTGTACCAGTTGCTGGAGGTAAATATTGTGGAGCAGCGTTGTTGACTGTTGTACCACTGTTGTACCAGTTGCTGGAGGTAAATATTGTGGAGCAGCGTTGTTGACTGTTGTACCACTGTTGTACCACTGTTGTACTGTTGTACCACTGTTGTACCAGTTGCTGGAGGTAAATATTGTGGAGCAGCGTTGTTGACTGTTGTACCACTGTTGTACCAGTTGCTGGAGGTAAATATTGTGGAGCAGCGTTGTTGACTGTTGTACCACTGTTGTACCACTGTTGTACCAGTTACTGGAGGTAAATATTGTGGAGCAGCGTTGTTGACTGTTGTACCACTGTTGTACCAGTTGCTGGAGGTAAATATTGTGGAGCAGCGTTGTTGACTGTTGTACCACTGTTGTACCAGTTACTGGAGGTAAATATTGTGGAGCAGCGTTGTTGACTGTTGTACCACTGTTGTACCACTGTTGTACCAGTTGCTGGAGGTAAATATTGTGGAGCAGCGTTGTTGACTGTTGTACCACTGTTGTACCACTGTTGTACCAGTTGCTGGAGGTAAATATTGTGGAGCAGCGTTGTTGACTGTTGTACCACTGTTGTACCAGTTACTGGAGGTAAATATTGTGGAGCAGCGTTGTTGACTGTTGTACCACTGTTGTACCACTGTTGTACCAGTTACTGGAGGTAAATATTGTGGAGCAGCGTTGACTGTTGTACTACTGTTGTACCACTGTTGTACCAGTTGCTGGAGGTAAATATTGTGGAGCAGCGTTGTTGACTGTTGTACCACTGTTGTACCAGTTGCTGGAGGTAAATATTGTGGAGCAGCGTTGTTGACTGTTGTACCACTGTTGTACCACTGTTGTACCAGTTGCTGGAGGTAAATATTGTGGAGCAGTGTTGTTGACTGTTGTACCACTGTTGTACCAGTTGCTGGAGGTAAATATTGTGGAGCAGCGTTGTTGACTGTTGTACCACTGTTGTACCAGTTGCTGGAGGTAAATATTGTGGAGCAGCGTTGACTGTTGTACCACTGTTGTACCACTGTTGTACTGTTGTACCACTGTTGTACCAGTTGCTGGAGGTAAATATTGTGGAGCAGCGTTGTTGACTGTTGTACCACTGTTGTACCAGTTGCTGGAGGTAAATATTGTGGAGCAGCGTTGTTGACTGTTGTACCACTGTTGTACCACTGTTGTACTGTTGTACCACTGTTGTACCAGTTGCTGGAGGTAAATATTGTGGAGCAGCGTTGTTGACTGTTGTACCACTGTTGTACCAGTTGCTGGAGTAAATATTGTGGAGCAGCGTTTGTTGACTGTTGTACCACTGTTGTACCACTGTTGTACTGTTGTACCACTGTTGTACCATTGCTGAGGTAAATATTGTGGAGCAGCGTTGTTGACTGTTGTACCACTGTTGTACCAGTTGCTGGAGGTAAATATTGTGGAGCAGCGTTGTTGACTGTTGTACCACTGTTGTTACCAGTTACTGGATGGTAAATATTGTGGAGCAGCGTTTGTTGACTGTTGTACCTGTTGTACCAGTTGCTGGAGGTAAATATTGTGGAGCAGCATTGTTGACTGTTGTACCACTGTTGTACCAGTTACTGGAGGTAAATATTGTGGAGCAGCGTTGTTGACTGTTGTACCACTGTTGTACCAGTTGCTGGAGGTAAATATTGTGGAGCAGCGTTGTTGACTGTTGTACCACTGTTGTACTGTTGTACCACTGTTGTACCAGTTGCTGGAGGTAAATATTGTGGAGCAGCGTTGTTGACTGTTGTACCACTGTTGTACCACTGTTGTACCACTGTTGTACCAGTTGCTGGAGGTAAATATTGTGGAGCAGCGTTGTTGACTGTTGTACCACTGTTGTACCAGTTGCTGGAGGTAAATATTGTGGAGCAGCGTTGTTGACTGTTGTACCACTGTTGTACTGTTGTACCACTGTTGTACCAGTTGCTGGAGGTAAATATTGTGGAGCAGCGTTGTTGACTGTTTACCCTGTTGACCACTGTTGTACCTTACTGAGGTAATATGTGAGCACGTTAGTTGACTGTGTACCACGTTGTACCATTACAAGTAAAATTGTGGAGCAGCGTTGTTGACTGTTGTACCACTGTTGTACCAGTTGCTGGAGTAAATATTGTGGAGCAGCGTTGTTGACTGTTGTACCACTGTTGTACCACGTTGCTCGGAGGTAAATATTGTGGAGCAGCGTTGTTGACTGTTGTACCACTGTTGTACTACTGTTGTACCAGTTCTGGAGGTAAATATTGTGGAGCAGCGTTGTTGACTGTTGTACCACTGTTTTTACTACTGTTGTACCAGTTGCTGGAGGTAAATATTGTGGAGCAGCGTTGTTGACTGTTGTACCACTGTTGTACCACTGTTGTACCAGTTGCTGGAGGTAAATATTGTGGAGCAGCGTTGTTGACTGTTGTACCACTGTTGTACCAGTTGCTGGAGGTAAATATTGTGGAGCAGCGTTGTTGACTGTTGTACCACTGTTGTACCAGTTACTGGAGGTAAATATTGTGGAGCAGCGTTGTTGACTGTTGTACCACTGTTGTACTACTGTTGTACCACTGTTGTACCAGTTACTGGAGGTAAATATTGTGGAGTAGCATTGTTGACTGTTGTACCACTGTTGTACCACTGTTGTACTACTGTTGTACCACTGTTGTACCAGTTGCTGGAGGTAAATATTGTGGAGCAGCGTTGTTGACTGTTGTACCACTTGTACTACTGTTGTACCACTGTTGTACCAGTTACTGGAGGTAAATGTTGTGGAGCAGCGTTGTTGACTGTTGTACCACTGTTGTACTACTGTTGTACCACTGTTGTACCAGTTACTGGAGGTAAATATTGTGGAGCAGCGTTGTTGACTGTTGTACCACTGTTGTACCACTGTTGTACCACTGTTGTACCAGTTGCTGGAGGTAAATATTGTGGAGCAGCATTGACTGTTGTACCACTGTTGTACCAGTTACTGGAGGTAAATATTGTGGAGCAGTGTTGTTGACTGTTGTACCACTGTTGTACTACTGTTGTACCACTGTTGTACCACTGTTGTACCAGTTACTGGAGGTAAATATTGTGGAGCAGCGTTGACTGTTGTTCCACTGTTGTACTACTGTTGTACCACTGTTGTACCAGTTACTGGAGGTAAATATTGTGGAGCAGCGTTGTTGACTGTTGTACCACTGTTGTACTACTGTTGTACCACTGTTGTACCAGTTGCTGGAGGTAAATATTGTGGAGCATCGTTGTTGACTGTTGTACCACTGTTGTACCACTGTTGTACCAGTTACTGGAGGTAAATATTGTGGAGCAGTGTTGTTGACTGTTGTACCACTGTTGTACCAGTTAATGGAGGTAAATATTGTGGAGCAGCGTTGTTGACTGTTGTACCACTGTTGTACTACTGTTGTACCACTGTTGTACCAGTTGCTGGAGGTAAATATTGTGGAGCAGCGTTGTTGACTGTTGTACCACTGTTGTACCACTGTTGCCACTGTTGACCAGTTGCTGGAGGTAAATATTGTGGAGCAGCGTTGTTGACTGTTGTACCACTGTTGTACCAGTTACTGGAGGTAAATATTGTGGAGCAGCGTTGTTGACTGTTGTACCACTGTTGTACTACTGTTGTACCACTGTTGTACCAGTTGCTGGAGGTAAATATTGTGGAGCAGCGTTGTTGACTGTTGTACCACTGTTGTACCACTGTTGTACCAGTTGCTGGAGGTAAATATTGTGGAGCAGCGTTGTTGACTGTTGTACCACTGTTGTACCACTGTTGTACCAGTTGCTGGAGGTAAATATTGTGGAGCAGCATTGTTGACTGTTGTACCACTGTTGTACCAGTTGCTGGAGGTAAATATTGTGGAGCAGCGTTGTTGACTGTTGTACCACTGTTGTACCAGTTACTGGAGGTAAATATTGTGGAGCAGCGTTGTTGACTGTTGTACCACTGTTGTACCACTGTTGTACCAGTTGCTGGAGGTAAATATTGTGGAGCAGCGTTGTTGACTGTTGTACCACTGTTGTACCAGTTACTGGAGGTAAATATTGTGGAGCAGCATTGTTCACTGTTGTACCACTGTTGTACTACTGTTGTACCACTGTTGTACCATTGTACCACTGTTGTACCATTGTTGTACTGTAGTACTGTTGTACTGTAGTACTACTGTTGTACTGTAGTACTACTGTTGTACCACTGTTGTACCACTGTTGTACTACTGTTGTACCACTGTTGTACTACTGTTGTACCACTGTTGTACCATGGTTGTACTGTAGTACTACTGTTGCACCAATGTGCCACTATTGTATTACTGTTGTACCACTGTTGGCTTAAACTTGTGTGTCTTCCATTTCCCTAGGCTCTGTATAACCCCTATGGATCTAGTGCGCCCTCTCGCCCAAACATAATAATACGAATAATAATTAAATGTAAAAGCAATATATATTAATTTGTAATAATCATAATAGTTAATGATAATATATTTTTGAAACTATTATCCAGAATATTGAGGAGGGGTTGTTGAGATGGTTCGGACATGTAGAGAGGATGGAGGGAAATAGAATGACTTTGAGAGTGTATGAATCTGTAGTGGAGGGAAGGCAGGGTAGGGGTCGGCCTAGGAAAGGTTGGAGGGAGGGGGTAAAGGAGGTTTTGTGTGTGAGGGGCTTGGACTTCCAGCAGGCGTCCGTGAGCGTGTTTAATAGGAGTGAATGGAGACAAATGGTTTTTAGGACTTGATGTGCTGTTGGAGTGTGAGTAAGGTAACATTTATGAAGGGGTTCAGGGAAACAGCAGGCCGGACTTGAGTCCTGGAGATGGGAAGTACAGTGCCTGCACTCTGAAGGAGGGGTGTTAATGTTGCAGTTTAAAAACTGTAGTGTAATGCACCCTTCTGGCAAGACAGTGATGGAGTGAATGATGATGAAAGTTTTTCTTTTTCAGGCCACCCTGCTTTGGTGGGACTCGGCCTATGTTTTAAAATAATATATAATAATAATAGGTAATATATAATAATGATAATACGTAAGTGATAATAATAGTTAATAAAATACAATATGTAATAATTGTATGTAATAACTGCAGACACATTCATCACCTTCAAAACTACCATTAGAAAACATCTTATCTCCCTGATACACCCTCACTAACTACACATACACGCAATACCACCTTTGATTAAACACAATTACATCTCAGCTTAAATAATATTGGAACATAAACTGAAATATGTAACTCCAAACGTTCCCTTTAAAATAATATATTAGTCCTTAGCTATACATCCCATAATTGTAACTATTTACTGTGCAAAAACAAACCCAAGACTACATTAAGCGTCTAAACTCTAAACTAGCCATGTAGTGTCTAGTTACCATTAAGACCTACCTTATGTTCAGTAATTGTAATACTAATGTACTAATTAACGAATCTAGAACTAAGTTAGTGCACCGTAATGCCTAGCCATGCTAGGTTTCTAGTGGTACACTCTGTAATCACAATTTTACTACATGTAAACCAAACAATAACCAAATTTCTGTAAACTCAGCATTGTAATCCTTATAGAGAATAAACTTTGAATTTGAATTTGAATTTGAATATGTAATAATAATAACAGATAATATAATTATATAGACTAAGTTTTTTTGTCAAACTTCCCAAATGGTGATTTAAGGGGACACTATAATTTTTTTTATTTTTCCTCTCTTGTAAGGTAGAGTAAGGATGTCGCCCGGGCGAAGCAGCAGCAGCAGCAGCGTTATGGAAGTAGACAAGAAGAAGAACTCGAGGTTGCTCACCTTCGTCACCAAGATCGAGATATTGGACAAGCTCAAGACGGGGTTCCGAGTTAGTCACCTGGCACGCGAGTATGGCATCAGCGACTCTACCATTGGCAACATGAGAAAGAACGAAGATGTCATTAGATTACGAGCGAGTACCGCAGGTGATTGAATAATAGTAATACGTAATATACATAATAATAATAATTATATTCTCTTTGGGGAAGTGGAACAGAATTCTTTCTCAGTAAGCCATGCGTGTCATAAGAGGCAGCTAAAATGCTGGAAGCAAGGGGCTAGTAACCCCTTCTCCTGTATACATAACTAAAGTTAAAAAGAGAAACTTTTGTTTTTCTTTTTAGGTCCCCCTCCACCAGTGGGATACAGCCGGTTTGTTGAAAGAAGGAAATTATATATAATATATAGTACAGTAAGTCTTCGACTTAAACACGTTGAGAATCTTCTGTATTGTGTATGTCATTATGATATCATTATTGTGTTTAATATTATTTCCCAGAAAAAGTAGGCCTTAGACAAGGATGTGTGATGTTAATATGGTTGTTTAATATATTTATAGATGGGGTTGTAAGAGAAGTGAATGTTCACGTGTTGGCAGGATTTGTGGAGGTTAAAACATAAATAATCTAACACAAAGTGGGAGTTGTCACAGTTGATGTTTGCTGATGACACTGTGCTTTTGGCAGATTCTGAAGACGAGTTGCTGAGCAAGTTAAAAGTGAATATAGGAAAGAGTAAGGTTATGAGGATAGCAAAAAAATTAGGTAATGAAAGATTGGATATCAGATTGGAGGGAGAGAGTATGGAGGAGGTGAATGTATTTAGATATCCAGGACTGGACGTGTCAGTAGATGTGTCTATGATGGAACTGACGAGGGGAAAAAGGTGAGTGGTGCACTGAGGAGTCTGTGGAGACAAAGAACTTTGTCCATGGAAACAAAGATGGGAATGTATGAGAGTATAGTTATACCAAGGCTCTTATATGGGTGTGAAGCATGGGTGGTGAATGTTGCAACAAGGAGAAGGCTGGAGGTAGTGGTAGAGGAGGCCGGAGGTAGTGGTGGAGGAGGCTGGAGGTAGTGGTGGTGATGTGTCTGAGGGCAATGTGTGGTGTGAATATAATGCAGAGACAGAGGAAAGATAGTGATGGAGTGAATGATGAAAGTTTTTCTTTTTCGGGCCACCCTACCTTGGTGGGAGATGGTCGATGTGTTAAAAAAATAATAATTTTTTTATAATAATAATAATAAAATTAACAATAATAATAAAATTAACTATACTGTATTGCTGTAATAGTAAATTTTTTCCTGTGACTATAAAATATTTTTTTCTGGCCCTGTAAAACACTTTTTTTTATTTTTCTTGGCAGAGGGAATTCAGGAACTGGAATACTTAAGGGCTAAGAAAATCGCTGAGGAGAGATACAAGAAACTTAATAATTCTGAGAATACGAAAAAGGCCGAAGAAAGAATTCAAGAATTCAGCGACTTTGAGGAAAGAAAAGATGCAGATGTACGGATTCAGGACACGGATAATTTCAAGGAAGCGGAAGTTGTTGATAGAATTGAAGAATTGGGCAATATGGAGAGCAAGAAGGATGTCAAAAACCGAATTGAAGAATTAGGTGCTTTTGATGACCTGAAAGATTTAGAAAACAAACACGGAGGGTTACCTCCTGAAGGTAGTAAATACACTAAAGAGGAACAAATGGAGTATCAAGACAGAGCGGAAGTGGCAGAAAACACAAACAATTCTGCAGGTATAAATAGCTTATGTCAATTTCAGAGTACCCTCTTCCATTAGATACATTGCACGATTTGCAAAAATACGGACAGGTCCCGATTAGTGCAAGTTTGATTAATATGACTTTTGATTTAGTACAAAATTAATCAGTGCTACTTTTTCCCGTAACTCTTCAAAATGCACACAAAAATTACGTATTATTCGAATAAAGCGATCAGTTCCCTAGATTCGTCAATTTGCACTAATCAAGACCTGGCTGTATATTTGGCATAGATTAGATTCATTTTGCGATTTTCAAACTCTGGGTTTTGTATTCCCTGTCTGTACTGAAGCTACAGTGTATAAGTTCTCTTGTCCTAGTGAAGGTATGATGCATAAGCGCTATTTATTATATTCAAGTTATACACAAATTTCAGGCTATACATTCAGGTGCCCCTTGACTTACGATGATTCAACTTAAGATATTCAACTTTACGATGGTGCAGCATCAATTACTTTGGAGATGACACTTAAGATAATTACCCAACATGAAGGTGACCAAGTCCCTAACTTGCATTCATTATTGACTTTTCAATATTTGTATTTAGTTACAATAATTATTTCTTTATTTACTTATTCAGTGAGAGTAGATTTTAGTTTTGTACTTATTTATTTAGAAAAAATTCATATTCGACTTACAATATTTTCAATTTACAATGGGTTCGTTGGACCATAACCTCATCGTAAGTCGAGGACCGCCTCTACAATGTGTGTTAAAAACTTAGACACAAGCTAACAAATTTTATTTTGGTTTAAGGTCAGTCTTCAGATTCCACCCAGGAGTCTCCTGTACCCACTAGAGGGAACTACGAACCACTTAGTAATGGTAGGTGGCATTTTGATGGTACGATAATGAAAAATGCCACTGGGAGGTGGAGTGGTGGAAGAGTTGTGTGTTTTCTGGGGTCGTGAGAGCTGGTAGTGTGTGTGTATGTGTGTGTGTAGTGTGTGTGTGTATAGTGTGTTGTGTGTGTGTGTGTGTGTGTGTGTGTAGTGTGTGTGTGTATAGTGTGTGTATAATGTATGTGTGTATAGTGTGTGTGTGTGTGTAGTGTGTGTGTGTGTGTGTGTGTGTGTAGTGTGTGTGTGTGTGTGTGTGTGTGTGTGTGTAGTGTGTGTGTGTAGTGTGTGTGTGTAGTGTGTGTGTAGTGTGTGTGTATAGTGTATGTGTGTATAGTGCATGTGTGTGTGTGTGTGTGTGTGTAGTGTGTGTGTGTAGTGTGTGTGTGTGTGTGTGTGTGTTGTGGGGGTGTGTGTGTGTGTGTGTGTGTGTGTGTGGTTTTGTGTAGTGTGTGTGTGTGTGTGTAGTGTGTGTGTGTGGTGGTTTGTGGTGTGTGTGTGTGTGTGTGTGTGTGTGTAGTGTGTAGTGTGTGTGTGTGTGTGTGTGTGTGTGTGTGTGTGTGTGTGTGTATGTGTAGGTGTGTGTGTGTGTGTGTGTGTAGTGTGTGTTAGTGTGTTTGTATTGTTGTGTGGTGTTGTGTTGTGTGTTGTGTGTGTGTGTGTAGTTGTTGTGTAGTGTGGTGTGTAGTGTGTGTGTGTGTGTGTTGTGTTGTATGTTTGTGTGTGTGTGTTTTTATGTGTGTAGTGTGTGTGTGTGTGTTTGTTTATTTTTTTTTTTTTTATTTTATGTTTTTTTTGTTGTTTTATTTTTTATTTTTTTTTTAGTTTTATTTTGTTGTTTTATTTTTTTTTATTTGTTGTTTTTTTGGTTGTATTTTTTTTTTGTTTTTTTTTTTTAGTGTGTGTGTGTGTGTGTTGTGTTGTGTGTGTTGTTTTGTGTGTTAGTGTTGTTGTGTGTGTGTGTGTGTGTGTGTGTATGATATGTGTGTTGTATTTGTGTGTGTGTGTGTGTGTTTGTGTGTGTGTGTGTAGATAGTGTGTTGTTTGTGTTTTGTGTGTGTTGTGTATGTGTGTTGTGTGTGTGTTGAGTTTGTGTATGATAGTGTTGTGTGTAGTGTGTGTGTGTGTGCTGTTGTAGTGTTGTGTGTGTGTATGTTGTGTGTATGTGTATTATGTGTGTGGTGTGTGTGTGTGTGTGTAGTGTGTGTGTTAGTGTGTGTGTGTGTGTGTGTGTGTTGTTGTTTGTAGTTGGTTGTGTGTTATGTATGTGTGTGTGTGTGTGTGTGTGAAATCACGAAAGCATTTGAGTGTTATTATTTTGCTAATAATGTTAAAGTTTTACTAGTTGAATAATAAGATTTTGCTAGTTGAATAATGTTAATATTTTTATTAGTCAAATAATAATATTATGACTTATCTAGTCGGATAATGTTAAAAATTTTGCTAGTTGCATAATGCTAGTCCACTGTTTTTTCACGCTGGCATTTTTTCTTATTTTCGGTCATGCACGGGGCTGGATTAAACGAGGGGCTGGTCTCCCGTGTAACATAAACCCTCGCAAAACACGGGCCTGGGTAGTTTGGATGCACACGCGTGATTGCTTTACACATGATTGTTTTATGCATGATTGCTTTATGCATGATTGTTTTATGCATGATTGCTTTATGCATGATTGTTTTATGCATGATTGTTTTATGCATGATTGTTTTACACATGATTGTTTTATGCATGATTGTTTTATGCATGATTGTTTTATGCATGATTGTTTTATGCATGATTGTTTTATGCATGATTGTTTTATGCATGATTGTTTTATGCATGATTGTTTTACACATGATTGTTTTATGCATGATTGTTTTATGCATGATTGCTTTATGCATGATTGCTTTATGCATGATTGCTTTACACATGATTGTTTTATGCATGATTGTTTTATGCATGATTGCTTTACGCATGATTGTTTTATGCATGATTGCTTTACACATGATTGTTTTATGCATGATTGTTTTATGCATGATTGTTTTATGCATGATTACTTTACACATGATTGTTTTACGCATGATTGTTTTATGCATGATTGTTTTATGCATGATTGCTTTATGCATGATTGCTTTATGCATGATTGCTTTATGCATGATTGCTTTATGCATGATTGCTTTATGCATGATTGCTTTATGCATGATTGCTTTATGCATGATTGCTTTATGCATGATTGCTTTACACATGATTGTTTTATGCATGATTGTTTTATGCATGATTGTTTTATGCATGATTGCTTTATGCATGATTGCTTTATGCATGATTGCTTTATGCATGATTGCTTTATGCATGATTGCTTTACACATGATTGTTTTTATGCATGATTGTTTTATGCATGATTGTTTTATGCATGATTGTTTTATGCATGATTGCTTTATGCATGATTGCTTTATGCATGATTGCTTTATGCATGATTGCTTTATGCATGATTGCTTTATGCATGATTGCTTTACACATGATTGTTTTATGCATGATTGTTTTATGCATGATTGTTTTATGCATGATTGTTTTATGCATGATTGTTTTATGCATGATTGTTTTATGCATGATTGTTTTATGCATGATTGCTTTATGCATGATTGCTTTATGCATGATTGCTTTATGCATGATTGCTTTACACATGATTGTTTTATGCATGATTGTTTTATGCATGATTGTTTTATGCATGATTGCTTTATGCATGATTGCTTTATGCATGATTGCTTTACAGATGATTACACATGATTGTTTTTCAAATGATTGCTTTATTTTTCAAATGATTGCTTTATTTTTCAAATGATTGCTTTATTTTTCAAATGATTGCTTTATTTTTCAGATGATTGCTTTACACATGATTGCTTTACAAATTATTACCATTCTAGGGAGGTATCTAGATTCTGGTGAAGGACTCTTGATCCAAAGCAATGGAGTGCCCCTCCCTTTGACCCAAAAGAGAAGAAAGTTTTGTTTTTTCTTTTTCAAGTCGCCCGCCTCAGTGGGAGACGATCCATGTGTCGAAAAAAAAACATTGGTACAGTTAACTCTTATAATTCTCAGTCTAGTATCCTTTTTGTAAATGCGATTGGAAACCGTTCACTGAAAATTCATTATCATGTACGGTGAAGGCCTTTCCACACGCTATTCCGTTATGAATATACAGGTGGTCCCTAACTTATGATGGGCTTATGTTAAAAAATCGAATAAAAATCAAAACTTTTATTTCTTTACTAAGGTTACAATCTGTGTTTATATTTCATAATTTGATTGGTACAAAGAAAGCCACTATCATGCCGAGGCATTTCAGGCAGACTTAACCTTCTACTTAAAACTACAGTGGACCCCCGCATAACGATTACCTCCGAATGTGACCAATTATGTAAGTGTATTTATGTAAGTGCGTTTGTACGTGTATGTTTGGGGGTCTGAAATGGACTAATCTACTTCACAATATTCCTTATGGGAACAAATTCGGTCAGTACTGGCGCCTGAACATACTTCTTGAGTGAAAAAATATCGTTAACCGGGGGTCCACTGTACTTAAGTCTAGACTCTAGACAGGTGAAGAGTGGTAAATTACAGATATTCAGTATTTTACTCTATTAATATGAGGTAGTACAATTAGTAATACATATGTACATGGGGAAGTGGAACAGAATTCTTCCTCCGTAAGCCATGCGTGTCGTAAGAGGCGACTAAAATGCTGGGAGCTAGGGCCTAGTAACCCCTTCTCCTGTATATATTACTAAATTTAAAAGGAGAAACTTTAGTTTTTCCTTTTGGGCCGCCCCGCTTCGGTGGGATACTGCCGGTACGTTGAAAGGAAGAGAAGAAGATGTACATACATTTTTAAGATTGTAATATAATGGCTTAACAATTAAGGGATAATAAAATATTTGGGTGAGTTGCTTCAAATTTGGTTGGAGTTTAGCATAGTGTGAGTATGGTTGTTATTGAGAGATGAGATGATTTTTGAGTATAGTCCTAAACTGATTAGTGAGCAGGGGACCTCTTGCTGTTTTGGGCAAAGAGTTCCAGATCTTCAGGCCCTTTATGTGCACTGCATTTTTGTATAATAATAATAAATAATAATAATAATAATAATGTTTATTTCTTTGTAAACGTTACAATGTGTAATTAGAATTTTGATTGGCTAAGTACAAAGATAGCCACTATCATGCCGAGGCATTTCAGGCAAACTAATCCTAATACACCTACCCTCCGACTTACGACCTGCTCGACTTATGACCACTCGACTCACGACCATGTTTTTTATGCCAAATTTCTGGGAAATAAACCAGTATTTGTGTTGTACACAGTGTTTATCCTAAACCTTACAGTATAAAATACAGTACTAACAACATAAAAAGTAAAGTAAAACATGAAATACCAAAATAAAACAATAAAATAAAGTCATTACGAAAATGTGATGTTGATATTCAGTAGTAAAGTTCGACTTACGTCCATTTCGACTTACGACCGGTTTCTCGGAACCGAACTCGGTTGTAAGTCGGATGGTAGGTGTACATAGTAACTAATTAAAACTAGATAAGATAATAGTACATAGTAATTATACTTAATAAACATGGAATAGTGGTTAGTTGTTTTATAGTCTTATTTGGACTTAATAAATCTCATGTAAACTTAATACAAAATCTAATTTAAAAGTGATGGTGCAGGTGGTAATATTTTATGGATTGGTAGAATTAAAAGCCAGGAGGTCACATGATAAGACTAATTAGCAGATGTTTTGGCAGATTTGGTTAATATTGAGAAACAAAATGATTTATGGAATGGCAGAACTAAGAGCCTAGAGGTCACATGATAGTAGATGTTTGGTTGATTTGGTTAATATTGTGAGATAAGATGATTTTTTAGCAAAGTCCTAAATTTATAAGTTGTTTGGGGATCCTTGACCAGTTTCGGTAGTGAGTTCCAGATCTTCGGACCTTTTATGTGCATAGCGTTCTTGCATAGTGAGAGTCTTACATAGTGTGAGATGGACACGAGGGATGTCAAAAGTGTTTTGCACCTCGTGTTATGCCTGTGTGTTCTGTTGAATCTGTCTAGAAGTTTGAGTAGGGGGTTATTGGAGTTTAATGCTCTGTATACACTATTATAGTAGGCACAATAATAAGTGTGTATATTTTGTATATTGGCAGTTTGGAGGGATATGTTGTGTATCTTTATATGTGTATGCTTCTGAACTGTTGTATTCTGACCACCTCTGCAAAAACAGTGATAATGTGCGAGTGTGGTGAAAGTGTTGAATGATGATGAAAGTATTTTCTTTTTGGGGATTTTCTTTCTTTTTTGGGTCACCCTGCCTTGGTGGGAGACAGCCGACTTGTTGAAAAAAAAAAAAAAAATTTGTATATTAAATAAGTTCAAGCTTTTGAAGCGTGGCGGGGTGTGTTGTCTGGTGCATGAGTTTGTGATCATCTGCACAACAGCTTTTTGTTGGGTTATTAAAGGTTTAAGGTGATTGGCCATGGTAAATCCCCAAGCACAAATACCATAGGTGAGGTAAGGGTATATTAGAGAGTGATATAAAGTGAGGAATGCCCTTTGGGGTACATAGTATCGTATCTTGGAAAGGATATCTACTGTTTTCAAAACTTTCTTGGTTATATGCTGGATGTGGGTCTGAAATTTAAGATTACAGTGATGGAGATCTAGAAATTTGCCCTCAGTGTGTCTTGTAATGGATGACCCATCTATCGATGTGTTTAGCTGGATATTTACTGATCTGTTTCCAAAAAGCATGAAGTAGGTTTCGTTTATATTGAGAGTAAGTTTGTTGGTTGTCATCCAGTTTGATATTTTATGTAGTTCACTGTTTACAGTGTTACTAAGTACAGCCGGGTTTGGGTGGGAGAAGACGTAAGTAGTGCCATCTGCGAATAGGACTGGTTTAAGGAGTCGCAATGCACTGGGAGGTCATTGATGTAAATAAGAAAGAGTAGAGGACCTAGAACACTTCCCTGTGGCACTCCAACAACTACAGGCTGAGTATGGGAGGTCGTGGCATTTGTATATACATACTGGTATCTACCACTAAGATAAGATTTTAGGTAATTGAGTGAGTGTCCTCTGACCCCATAATGCTCCTGGTTTAGGTGCAAGATATTGTGGTCTACTGTATTAAATGCCTTCCATAGATCTATCATTCTTGTTTGTTTTGGCCAAAACCCAAACTGGCAGGGGTTCAGTATGTTATGGGACAGAAGGTATTAGTAAATTTATTTTTGTATTATTTTTTTCAAAGATTTTAGAGAGCAAAGGCAAGTTAGATATCGGTCTGTAGTTATTTAGTTCTGTAGGTTCTCCTCCTTTGAGGATCGGGGTGACCCTCGCCGTCTTGAGTATGGATGGGAATGTTGACGATTCAACAGAGTTGTTAAATAGTGTTGCAGTAATGGGGGACAGCACACGATTTGCTTTTTTATACATGATTGGTGGCAATTTATTTAGGTCTCCTGCCTTGTTTTTTAATGATTTAATTATTAGTGAGACTTCAGTAGGATTTGTTGGTGCTATATATATGTACAAGTTAGGGACTTGCTGCCTTCATTCTGGGTTATTATCTTTAGTTTCGTCTCCAGAGTAATTGCTTTTGCACCATCATAAAGTCGAAATACCGTAAGTCGAACCATTGTAAGTTGAGGAGCATCTATGCTTTTTCATTCACAATTACCAAACAAAATTGCGCTATAGAGAGAAGCTTCGTAAGAAAGCTGACTATAATAAGCGATTATTTTTTTATTTTAATAATGCATATTTATTGTTTTTTTTTTTTTTGCTCAGGTCTCAAAGGAAAGTGCAAGCGAGTGTGTCCCAACTGCACGTGTCTGGTGGCTGTACGTAAGTACACCTGTGAGTGCGGTTACAACTTCAAACAGGAGAAGAATCTCAGAAAAAATAAGAGGGACGCCCACCTGCTGGTCATGGGGAAGCGCGCCAGTCAGAACAGGAACCTTTGGAGAGCGTTTGATGCTGTTGAGAAGCAGGTACACCAGTCGCTTGGTGTTTTTTTAATTCTCTGGTGGTTAGCAAGTGGTCAACTAAACTAGTAATGTAAAAAACACGGCTGAGCACTCGAATCACACACTGATGTTTGTGATTCGATCCCCAGTATGGGTGGAAACAGTAAGATGTGTTTCCTTAAGACACCTGCTGTCCCTATTCACCTAGCAGTAGTAGGTACCTGGGTCTTAGTGGACTGGTGTGGGTGGCATCCTGGGACAAAATTGATCTAATTTGCCTGAAATGCTCTGTATAATAAGAGACTTTCTATATACTATTATTATTATTCTTATTATTACAGCCTCTCTTCCTATGCATAAGAGCTTTGTGAAAAATAGTGAAATTCCAAGTACTTTTGTGAAAAAAATAGGAAATTCCAAGAACTTTTATGAAAAATAGTTAAATTCTAAGCACTTGGAATTGGCACTTGAACAGCTTTCTGGAACAAATTAAGTTCGTATCCCGAGGTACCACTGTATTGTACTAAACCAAACGAACCGAAACTCCAGCCTGTTGATACAGCTAACAGGATAAATGACTTTTTCTCAAACATAGGATCAAATCCTGCCAGTAAAATTCCAATTACAGTGGACCCCCGGTTTACAATCAGCTCCCAATGCGACCAATTATGTAAGTGTATTTATGTAAGTGCGTTTGTACGTGTATGTTTGGGGGTCTGAAATGGACTAATCTACTTCACAATATTCTTTATGGGAACAAATTCGGTCAGTACTGGCACCTGAACATACTTCTGGAGTGAAATAATATCGTAAACTGGGGGTCCACTGTACTAATGTCCAAGCTAATGATGATTTAAATGGAACCTCAGGAACAAATAGCATAGGTGAGGTAGGGGTAGATCAGTGAATAGTATATTGTAAATAGTGCTGTTGTGGTACATAGTAACGTATCTTTGAGAGGATGCCAACTGTTTTAGAAACTTTTTTTTTGTTATGTGTTGGATATGGGTGTTGATATTCAGGTTGCTGTCAACGTGCAGACCCAGGAATTACCCTCGTTATGTTTAGCAATAAGGGTGTTATTAAGCATAATGTTTAGTTGGACCTCACTTGCTCTACTCCCAAACATAATGTAAAAGGTTTTGTCTATATTGATGGTCAACCGGGTTGCTATTTTTGTGAGTTCTTTGTTAACAATAGGGTTGAGTGAGGCTAGATTTGGGTAGGAGATAACAAAAGTCATTTCACCAGCAAAGAGAATAGGCATAAATTATTATGGTACACTTCAAAGATCATTGATGTATGAAAGGAAAAGGAGAGGACCAAAAATGTTACCCTGTAGTACACCAGTGTATGACCTCTTATACCGTAATGATCAAGCTTGAGGTGTAGGACGCTCTGATCTGCTGTATCGAAAGCTTTCTTAAGGTCGATAGAGTCCAAGCGGATATTAATTTTTTCCAGTGCTGCGTAAAATAGGTCTAGAATTTTTATTATCATGGTTTAATGCCTAGTTTTAAAAGCCAAAACAATCATTTTTTTCTCCAGAGCATCAAAATACAAGGGGGAGGATACAAGATTGTCTCCCTCTACTACAAAGAGTGTCCCACGAGGAACCAAAAAGGGATCATATCTGGCAGCTGGCTCAAGGAGGAGGACGCCAACCTTCTCGTACAGTTCTTCTGCAAAGGTAGAATTATTGTTTGTTGGTATGCTTTAGCCTTGCTTTATTACTACACTTTGCTTTAGCCCTGCTTTATTACTGCACTTTGCTTTAGCCCTGCTTTATTACTGCACTTTGCTTTAGACCTGCTTTATTACTGCACTTTGCTTTATTACTGCACTTTGCTTTAGACCTGCTTTATTACTGCACTTTGCTTTAGCCCTGCTTTATTACTGCACTTTGCTTTAGCCTTGCTTTATTACTGCACTTTGCTTTATTACTACACTTTGCTTTAGCCCTGCTTTATTACTGCACTTTGCTTTAGCTCTGCTTTATTACTGCACTTTGCTTTAGCCCTGCTTTATTACTGCACTTTGCTTTAGACCTGCTTTATTACTGCACTTTGCTTTATTACTGCACTTTGCTTTAGACCTGCTTTATTACTGCACTTTGCTTTAGACCTGCTTTAGTACTGCACTTTGCTTTATTACTGCACTTTGCTTTAGACCTGCTTTATTACTGCACTTTGCTTTAGCCCTGCTTTATTACTGCACTTTGCTTTAGCCCTGCTTTATTACTACACTTTGCTTTAGCCTTGCTTTATTACTGCACTTTGCTTTAGCCTTGCTTTATTACTGCACTTTGCTTTAGACCTGCTTTATTACTGCACTTTGCTTTAGACCTGCTTTATTACTGCACTTTGCTTTAGCCCTGCTTTATTACTGCACTTTGCTTTATTACTGCACTTTGCTTTAGCCCTGCTTTATTACTGCACTTTGCTTTAGCCCTGCTTTATTACTACACTTTGCTTTAGCCTTGCTTTATTACTGCACTTTGCTTTAGCCTTGCTTTATTACTGCACTTTGCTTTAGCCCTGCTTTATTACTGCACTTTGCTTTAGCCTTGCTTTATTACTGCACTTTGCTTTATTACTACACTTTGCTTTAGACCTGCTTTATTACTGCACTTTGCTTTAGCCCTGCTTTATTACTGCACTTTGCTTTATTACTGCACTTTGCTTTAGCCTTGCTTTATTACTGCACTTTGCTTTAGCCTTGCTTTATTACTGCACTTTGCTTTAGCCTTGCTTTATTACTGCACATTGCTTTATTACTGCACTTTGCTTTATTACTGCACTTTGCTTTAGACCTTCTTTATTACTGCACTTTGCTTTAGCCTTGCTTTATTACTGCACTTTGCTTTATTAGTGCACTTTGCTTTAGACCTGCTTTATTACTGCACTTTGCTTTAGCCTTGCTTTATTACTGCACTTTGCTTTAGACCTGCTTTATTACTGCACTTTGCTTTAACCCTGCTTTATTACTGCACTTTGCTTTATTACTGCACTTTGCTTTATTACTGCACTTTGCTTTAGACCTGCTTTATTACTGCACTTTGCTTTATTACTGCACTTTGCTTTATTACTGCACTTTGCTTTAGACCTGCTTTATTACTGCACTTTGCTTTAGACCTGCTTTATTACTGCACTTTGCTTTATTACTGCACTTTGCTTTATTACTGCACTTTGCTTTAGCCTTGCTTTATTACTGCACTTTGCTTTAGACCTGCTTTATTATTGCACTTGCTTAGCCCTGCTTTATTACTGCACTTTGCTTTATTACTGCACTTTGCTTTATTACTGCACTTTGCTTTAGACCTGCTTTATTACTGCACTTTGCTTTAGACCTGCTTTATTACTGCACTTTGCTTTAGACCTGCTTTATTACTGCACTTTGCTTTATTACTGCACTTTGCTTTAGCCCTGCTTTATTACTGCACTTTGCTTTAGACCTGCTTTATTACTGCACTTTGCTTTAGACCTGCTTTATTACTGCACTTTGCTTTATTACTGCACTTTGCTTTATTACTGCACTTTGCTTTATTACTGCACTTTGCTTTATTACTGCACTTTGCTTTAGACCTGCTTTATTACTGCACTTTCCTTTAGACCTGCTTTATTACTGCACTTTGCTTTAGCCCTGCTTTATTACTGCACTTTGCTTTAGCCCTGCTTTATTACTGCACTTTGCTTTAGACCTGCTTTATTACTGCACTTTGCTTTATTACTGCACTTTGCTTTAGACCTGCTTTATTACTGCACTTTGCTTTAGCCCTGCTTTATTACTGCACTTTGCTTTAGCCCTGCTTTATTACTGCACTTTGCTTTAGACCTGCTTTATTACTGCACTTTGCTTTATTACTGCACTTTGCTTTAGACATGCTTTATTACTGCACTTTGCTTTAGCCCTGCTTTATTACTGCACTTTGCTTTATTACTGCACTTTGCTTTAGACCTGCTTTATTACTGCACTTTGCTTTATTACTGCACTTTGCTTTAGACCTGCTTTATTACTGCACTTTGCTTTAGACCTGCTTTATTACTGCACTTTGCTTTATTACTGCACTTTGCTTTAGACCTGCTTTATTACTGCACTTTGCTTTATTACTGCACTTTGCTTTAGACCTGCTTTATTACTGCACTTTGCTTTAGACCTGCTTTATTACTGCACTTTGCTTTAGACCTGCTTTATTACTGCACTTTGCTTTAGACCTGCTTTATTACTGCACTTTGCTTTATTACTGCACTTTGCTTTAGCCCTGCTTTATTACTGCACTTTGCTTTAGACCTGCTTTATTACTGCACTTTGCTTTAGACCTGCTTTATTACTGCACTTTGCTTTAGACCTGCTTTATTACTGCACTTTGCTTTATTACTGCACTTTGCTTTAGCCCTGCTTTATTACTGCACTTTGCTTTAGTCCTGCTTTATTACTGCACTTTGCTTTAGACCTGCTTTATTACTGCACTTTGCTTTAGACCTGCTTTATTACTGCACTTTGCTTTATTACTGCACTTTGCTTTATTACTGCACTTTGCTTTAGACCTGCTTTATTACTGCACTTTGCTTTAGACCTGCTTTATTACTGCACTTTGCTTTATTACTGCACTTTGCTTTAGACCTGCTTTATTACTGCACTTTGCTTTATTACTGCACTTTGCTTTATTACTGCACTTTGCTTTATTACTGCACTTTGCTTTAGCCTTGCTTTATTACTGCACTTTGCTTTAGCCCTGCTTTATTACTGCACTTTGCTTTAGACCTGCTTTATTACTGCACTTTGCTTTATTACTGCACTTTGCTTTAGACCTGCTTTATTACTGCACTTTGCTTTATTACTGCACTTTGCTTTATTACTGCACTTTGCTTTAGACCTGCTTTATTACTGCACTTTGCTTTAGACCTGCTTTATTACTGCACTTTGCTTTAGACCTGCTTTATTACTGCACTTTGCTTTAGCCTTGCTTTATTACTGCACTTTGCTTTATTACTACACTTTGCTTTAGCCCTGCTTTATTACTGCACTTTGCTTTAGCCTTGCTTTATTACTGCACTTTGCTTTAGCCTTGCTTTATTACTGCACTTTGCTTTAGCCTTGCTTTATTACTGCACTTTGCTTTAGCCTTGCTTTATTACTGCACTTTGCTTTAGCCTTGCTTTATTACTGCACTTTGCTTTAGCCTTGTTTTATTACTGCACTTTGCTTTAGCCCTGCTTTATTACTGCACTTTGCTTTAGCTTTGCTTTATTACTGCACTTTGCTTTAGCCCTGCTTTATTACTGCACTTTGCTTTATTACTACACTTTGCTTTAGCCCTGCTTTATTACTGCACTTTGCTTTAGCCCTGCTTTATTACTGCACTTTGCTTTATTACTGCACTTTGCTTTAGACCTGCTTTATTACTGCACTTTGCTTTAGCCTTGCTTTATTACTGCACTTTGCTTTATTACTGCACTTTGCTTTAGCCCTGCTTTATTACTGCACTTTGCTTTAGCCCTGCTTTATTACTGCACTTTGCTTTATTACTACACTTTGCTTTAGCCCTGCTTTATTACTGCACTTTGCTTTAGCCCTGCTTTATTACTGCACTTTGCTTTAGACCTGCTTTATTACTGCACTTTGCTTTATTACTGCACTTTGCTTTATTACTGCACTTTGCTTTAGACCTGCTTTATTACTGCACTTTGCTTTAGCCTTGCTTTATTACTGCACTTTGCTTTATTACTGCACTTTGCTTTAGCCCTGCTTTATTACTGCACTTTGCTTTAGCCCTGCTTTATTACTGCACTTTGCTTTATTACTGCACTTTGGTTTAGACCTGCTTTATTACTGCACTTTGCTTTAGACCTGCTTTATTACTGCACTTTGCTTTAGACCTGCTTTATTACTGCACTTTGCTTTATTACTGCACTTTGCTTTATTACTGCACTTTGCTTTATTACTGCACTTTGCTTTAGACCTGCTTTATTACTGCACTTTGCTTTATTACTGCACTTTGCTTTAGCCTTGCTTTATTACTGCACTTTGCTTTAGCCTTGCTTTATTACTGCACTTTGCTTTAGCCCTGCTTTATTACTGCACTTTGCTTTATTACTGCACTTTGCTTTAGCCTTGCTTTATTACTGCACTTTGCTTTAGCCCTGCTTTATTACTGCACTTTGCTTTATTACTGCACTTTGCTTTAGCCTTGCTTTATTACTGCACTTTGCTTTAGCCTTGCTTTATTACTGCACTTTGCTTTATTACTGCACTTTGCTTTATTACTGCACTTTGCTTTAGCCTTGCTTTATTACTGCACTTTGCTTTAGCCTTGCTTTATTACTGCACTTTGCTTTAGACCTGCTTTATTACTGCACTTTGCTTTAGACCTGCTTTATTACTGCACTTTGCTTTATTACTGCACTTTGCTTTAGCCTTGCTTTATTACTGCACTTTGCTTTAGCCTTGCTTTATTACTGCACTTTGCTTTAGCCTTGCTTTATTACTGCACTTTGCTTTAGCCCTGCTTATTACTGCACTTTGCTTTAGACCTGCTTTATTACTGCACTTTGCTTTATTACTGCACTTTGCTTTAGACCTGCTTTATTACTGCACTTTGCTTTAGACCTGCTTTATTACTGCACTTTGCTTTAGACCTGCTTTATTACTGCACTTTGCTTTAGCCCTGCTTTATTACTGCACTTTGCTTTAGCCTTGCTTTATTACTGCACTTTGCTTTATTACTGCACTTAGCTTTAGCCCTGCTTTATTACTGCACTTTGCTTTAGACCTGCTTTATTACTGCACTTTGCTTTAGACCTGCTTTATTACTGCACTTTGCTTTAGCCCTGCTTTATTACTGCACTTTGCTTTAGACCTGCTTTATTACTGCACTTTGCTTTAGACCTGCTTTATTACTGCACTTTGCTTTAGACCTGCTTTATTACTGCACTTTGCTTTAGCCCTGCTTTATTACTGCACTTTGCTTTAGACCTGCTTTATTACTGCACTTTGCTTTAGACCTGCTTTATTACTGCACTTTGCTTTAGCCTTGCTTTATTACTGCACTTTGCTTTAGCCTTGCTTTATTACTGCACTTTGCTTTAGCCCTGCTTTATTACTGCACTTTGCTTTAGCCTTGCTTTATTACTGCACTTTGCTTTATTACTGCACTTTGCTTTAGACCTGCTTTATTACTGCACTTTGCTTTAGACCTGCTTTATTACTACACTTTGCTTTAGCCCTGCTTTATTACTGCACTTTTCATCAGAGGTTAAGAAACTGTCCATCTCCCACCGAGGTAGAGTGACCCAAAGAAGTGCTTTTACCATCAGTCTTACCAGAGTGGCGCTGATATTACACCTCAAAACTACAAATGTCTCCACCTCTCCTTCAGAATTCAAGTGAAATTGCCGACCTAGAAAATGTACAGAGAACTTTCACAGCGCGCATAACGGAGATAAAACACCTCAATTACTGGGAGCGCTTGAGGTTCCTAAACCTGTATTCCCTGGAACGCAGGAGGGAGAGATACATGATTATATACACCTGGAAAATCCTAGAGGGACTAGTACCGAACTTGCACACGAAAATCACTCACTACGAAAGCAAAAGACTTGGCAGACGATGCAACATCCCCCCAATGAAAAGCAGAGGTGTCACTAGCACGTTAAGAGACCATACAATAAGTGTCAGGGGCCCGAGACTGTTCAACTGCCTCCCAGCATACATAAGGGGGATTACCAACAGACCCCTGGCAGTCTTCAAGCTGGCACTGGACAAGCACCTAAAGTCGGTTCCTGACCAGCCGGGATGTGGCTCGTACGTTGGTTTGCGTGCAGCCAGCAGCAACAGCCTGGTTGATCAGGCTCTGATCCACCAGGAGGCCTGGTCACAGACCGGGCCGCGGGGGCGTTGACCCCCGGAACTCTCTCCAGGTAAACTCCAGGTAGCCCTGCTTTATTACTACACTTTGCTTTAGACCTGCTTTATTACTGCACTTTGCTTTAGATCGCTTTGCTTTGGGGCGCTTTGATTTAGAGTGTTTTGCCCTAAAGTGCTTCACTTCACATAGCTTTGCTTTACAGTGCTTCACTTTAGATAGCTTGGCTTTACAGTGCTTCACTTTAGATAGCTTGGCTTTACAGTGCTTCACTTTAGATAGCTTGGCTTTACAGTGCTTCACTTTAGATAGCTTGGCTTTACAGTGCTTCACTTTAGATAGCTTGGCTTTACAGTGCTTCACTTTAGATAGCTTGGCTTTACAGTGCTTCACTTTAGATAGCTTGGCTTTACAGTGCTTCACTTTAGATAGCTTGGCTTTACAGTGCTTTACTTTAGATAGCTTGGCTTTACAGTGCTTCACTTTAGATAGCTTGGCTTTACAGTGCTTTGCTTTAGATAGCTTGGCTTTACAGTGCTTCACTTTAGATAGCTTTGCTTTACAGTGCTTTACTTTAGATAGCTTGGCTTTACAGTGCTTTACTTTAGATAGCTTGGCTTTACAGTGCTTCACTTTAGATAGCTTGGCTTTACAGTGCTTCACTTTAGATAGCTTGGCTTTACAGAGCATCACTTTAGATAGCTTGGCTTTACAGTGCTTTACTTTAGATAGCTTGGCTTTACAGTGCTTTACTTTAGATAGCTTGGCTTTACAGTGCTTCACTTTAGATAGCTTGGCTTTACAGAGCATCACTTTAGATAGCTTGGCTTTACAGTGCTTCACTTTAGATAGCTTGGCTTTACAGTCCTTCACTTTAGATAGCTTGGCTTTACAGTGCTTCACTTTAGATAGCTTGGCTTTACAGTGCTTCACTTTAGATAGCTTGGCTTTACAGTGCTTCACTTTAGATAGCTTGGCTTTACAGTCCTTCACTTTAGATAGCTTGGCTTTACAGTGCTTCACTTTAGATAGCTTGGCTTTACAGTCCTTCACTTTAGATAGCTTGGCTTTACAGTCCTTCACTTTAGATAGCTTGGCTTTACAGTGCTTCACTTTAGATAGCTTGGCTTTACAGTCCTTCACTTTAGATAGCTTGGCTTTACAGTGCTTTGCTTTTTTTTACAGTCTTTTGCTTTACAGTGATTCTCTTGACAGTTCTTCACTGTAGAGTACTTCATTTAACAGTGCTTTACTCTATGCCACTTAGCTTTACAGTAGTAACACCTGTATAAATTACTAAATTTATCGTTTTAGGTCGCCCTGCCTCGGTGGGATACGGCCGGCATGTTGAAAGTAGAGGAAGATATGTAAACTATATTCTTTCTTCTTCTTTCAACAAACCAACCGTATCCCACCGAGGCAGGGTGACCCAAAAAGAAAAACGATACCGTTTCTGTTTTTAAATATACAGTGGACCCCCGGTTAACGATGTTTTTTCACTCCAGAAGTATGTTCAGGTGCCAGTACTGACCGAATTTGTTCCCATAAGGAATATTGTGAAGTAGATTAGTCCATTTCAGACCCCTAAACATACACGTACAAACGCACTTACATAAATACACTTACATAATTTGTCACATTCGGAGGTAATCGTTATGCGGGGGTCCAGTGTACTAATTTATACAGGAGAAGGGGTTACCAGCCCCTTGCTACAGGCATTTTAGTCGCCTCTTACAACACGCATGGCTTACGGAGGAAGAATTCTGTTCCACTTCCCCATGGAGATAAGAGGAAATAAACAATAACAGGAACTAGTAAAAAAATAGATGAAAACCCAGAGGGGTGTGTATATACGCCTACCATCCGACTTACGACCTGCTCGACTTACGATCACTCGACTTATGACCGTGTTTTTTATGTTGTTAGGTAAGACACATATGCAACAGTTAGGTATCTTTATTATGAAACGTTTCGCCTACACAGTAGGCTTCTTCAGTCAAGTACAGAAAAGTTGATAGAAGCAGAAGATACTTGAAGACGATGTAATCGTGTTTTTTATGCCAAATTTCTGGGAAATAAACCAGTATTTGTGTTGTACACAGTGTTTATCCTAAACCTTACAGTATAAAACACAGTACTAACAACATAAAAAGTAAAGTAAAACATGAAATACCAAAATAAAACAATAAAATAAAGTCATTACAAAAATGTTTTGTTGATATTCAGTAGTAAAGTTCGACTTACGACCATTTCGACTTACGACCGGTTTCTCGGAACTGAACTCGGTTGTAAGTCAGATGGTAGGTGTATATGCTTGTATATGCATGTGTAGTTTGACCTAAGTGTAAGTAGAAGTAGCAAGATGTACCTGGAACCGTGCAGGTTTATGAGACAGAAAAAAGACACCAGCAATCCTACCATCATGTAAAACAATTTCAGGCTTATGTTTTACCAACCTACTACCACAGGATGGTAGTACCTCCCTGGGTGGTTGTTGTCTACCAACCTACTACCACAGGACAGTAGTACCTTCCTGGGTGGTTGTTGTCTACCAACCTACTACCACAGGACAGTAGTACCTTCCTGGGCAGTTGCTGTCTACCAACCTATTACCACAGGACAGTAGTGCCTCCCTGGGCAGTTAATGTCTACCAACCTATTACCACAGGATGGTAGTACTTTCCTGGGCAGTTGCTGTCTACCAACCTACTACCACAGGGCAGTAGTACCTCCCTGGGCAGTTAATGTCTACCAACCTATTACCCCCAGGATGGTAGTACTTTCCTGGGCAGTTGCTGTCTACCAACCTACTTCCACAGGACAGTAGTACCTCCCTGGGCAGTTAATGTCTACCAACCTATTACCACAGGACGGTAGTACCTTCCTGGGCAGTTGCTGTCTACCAACCTACTACCACAGGGCAGTAGTACCTCCCTGGGCAGTTAATGTCTACCAACCTATTACCACAGGATGGTAGTACTTTCCTGGGCAGTTGCTGTCTACCAACCTACTACCACAGGACAGTAGTACCTCCCTGGGCAGTTAATGTCTACCAACCTATTACCACAGGACAGTAGTACCTTCCTGGGCAGTTGCTGTCTACCAACCTACTATCTAGGATGTAAACTATATATAATTAAATAATATTTGATCTTTCAGTGATAGAATCATCACGGAACAGAGATGAGGAACAGAGACAAGAGATGCAACAGGAAGAGGAGCTCCCATTGTTGCAAAACATGCAGGATATCAAGCAAGAGGACTTGCTACCACAGTACGAGGACCATGAGGAGCAACTACCGCTGTTGCAGAACATGCTGTGTATCAAGCACGAGGACTCCCCACCTGAACACATGCAACAAGAGCAGCAACAACCATCATCGTTGCAAAACGTGATATACATTAAACAGGAAGACTCACTAGTGCAGGATATGCAACAAGACCCTCTTGCGCAAGACGTGAAACAAGGCGAACAACCACCACAGTCGCATAGCATACCAGATGTTAAGCAAGAGGCGCCGGCACTACAGAGCGTGCAACAAGATCATATATCATAGGAGGTACAATGAATGAATGTAATTCAACAAGAACCATAACATTTTTGTGATATGGTTAATTACTTTGTATGTAAGGTTAGCTATGTACACTGAGAGGTGAATATCTTACGTATATTCACTAAGAGTTATGTCTCTCAGTCTGTATACACCAAGAGGTGTATATCTCTTGTGTATATACACTGAGCAGTGTATGTCTCAGTCTACATTGAGAGATGTATATTGTGTATATACACTGAGCTGTATGTTTCTCATGTCATTATACACTTCAGAGGTATTTATGTCTCTGTCGATATACACTGAGTGTATAATCCCTATTTTAGGGATTAAAGTGATTTTGACTGGTGGTGTATATGTGACACACAGCCTTAATGACTCTTTGCGTTGTCGATAAGCTTCAAGGTCAGTTGACTACCAATGTAAAGTGGAAGGAACCACATAGGAATAACGACTTGGTAAAAGTTAGCCTCCTTAATGTTCTGTTATCACCTGTTTTCTCATTGGCCTGTCTGTTTCATTCTTTTTTATCGAGTTGCTACTGACAGCCAACACCAGATTTAGTTGAAGTAGAAGGAATAGTTGAAATGGGATACAGTAGAAGCCCCATATCTGTGAATTCGATTTTCATGGATTCAGTTATCCACAGTTTACCGTGTCCCGAAAATAACCCTTAATTTTGCTTAATAACGGCCCCAAAGTGCAAAAATAGTGACGGTGGCAGTTCTTCAAAGCCTAAGAGAATCCGTGAAGTGCTTCCCATCAATGTAAAAAATGATAATTCTCAATACAACAAGGAAAAAATTGTATGCTGAACTCACTAAGATGTGCGGCAAGAATGTATCTTCCAGTCATGAAGTATAACAACGTACAGTGTACTTTATTATTATTATTTAATGTCGGTAATGTTTTATGGTGCATAATTTATCAATTAAATTTTATCATAGGTGTGTAAGCAAAAAATGACATATATATAGGGTTTGCTAATACCTGTAGTGTTGGGCATCTGCGGTAGATCTTGGGATGTACCGTATTTCGTGGCTTATAAGACATGGCTTATAAGACTTGTTTTAGTTTTAATGGCTCAGCATCGGACGTAACTGGGAGAGCTACAGCCCACGTCACACTCCAAACTTATAGCTCCTGTCACTGACCTTCAATTTATAAGATGCAGGCTGGTTTTTGGAGACATTTTATGGAAAAAATGCATCTAATAGGACGCAAAATACGGTATCCTTCTACAGTTATACCAGGGACTACTGTACTCATCATTTCTAGTTCAGTGGTAGACTATACTGGAGACTGTTTAGGAAAAATTCTCTTATTCTTATCCCCTTCTCAAGGGAGGTGCCTTGATGCTGGTGAGGGGCTCTTGATCCAAGGAATTGGAATTGTCCTCCCCTTCCTTAGATCAAACCAGATTGCCTCCCATTTCCCAAGTGCTGTTTAACCCGTATGATTTTAATGCCTCCTTCCCCGATTGTGGTAATTTCTGCATATACAGTATTGTACGCAGTTCTTATGTACAGTTGATCCATGAACAGCATGGGGGTAAGAGGGCAACAACCCCCCGCATAGTCGAAAATCCACATATAAATTTTAACTCCCCACAAACTTAACTACTAAAAGCCTTACCGATAAACAATCGACAAACGCATATTTTGTATGTTATATATTTTTTATTGTTATTAACACACTGGCCGATTCCCACCAAGGCAGGGTTGCCCGAAAAAGAAAAACTTTCACCATCATTCACTCCATCACTGTCTTGCCAGAAGGGTGTTTTACACTACAGTTTTTAAACTGCAACATTATACAGTGGAACCTCAAATATCGAACTTTCTTCGGTCCAGACGGCTGTTTGAGTGTCTTTACCGAATGAATTTATTCCCATCAGGAATAATATAAATTAGATTAGTCCATTTCAGACCCTCAAAAATACACACTTATAAAAGCACTTACAAAAATACACTTACATAATTGGTTGTGTTGGGAGCAGTTCGATTTTTGAGGTTCCACTGTATACTGTATTCTTGCATTAAAGTAAGCTAGAGAATAGAAAATTTATTAAGAAAATCATAAGGAAGAGAAAATACATTTACAGTACTGTAGTGTATTTATGGATACTGTAAATTTATGTCTGACTGTCAGTACCTTCATTACTATTGTCTTGTACAAAACACTATGTGTTATATGTATTACTAACACTAGACTTCAAAAATAAAAAAATGATGTGAAAAAGACTGATTGTGTGAATGATGGTGAAAGTTTTTTTTTTGGGGGGGGTCACCCTTCCCCTGTGGGAGATGGCCAGTGTGTTAATAATATTATTTTTTTATTATCACTGGCCGATTCCCACCAAGGCAGGTGGCCCGAAAAAGAAAAACTTTCACCATCATTCACTCCATCACTGTCTTGCCAGAAGGGTGCTTTACACTACAGTTTTTAAACTGCAACATTAACACCCCTCCTTCAGAGTGCAGGCACTGTACTTCCCATCTCCAGGACTCAAGTCCGGCCTGCCGGTTTCTGAACCCCTTAAATTTTTTACTTTGCTCACACTCCAACAGCACGTCAAGTATTAAATACCATTTGTCTCCATTCATTCCTATCAACACGCTCACGCATGCCTCTGAAGTCCAAGCCCCTCGCACACAAAACCTCCTTTACCCCCTCCCTCCAACCTTTCCAGGCGGGACCCTACCCCGCCTTCCTTCCACTGCAGACTGTTTAACACTCTTGAAGTTTTCTGTCTCGCTCCCATTCTCCTACTATGTCCGAACCCTCAACAACCCTTCCTCAGCCCTCTAGCAAAAAGTTTTGTAATCACACCTCCTCCTAACTTCCAAACTATGAATTCTCTGCATTTATTCACACCACACATTGCCCTCAGACATGACATCTCCACGCTCCAGCCTTCTCCTCGCACACATTCATCACCCATGCTTCCACCCATATAAGAGCGTGTCTAAACAACTCTCATACATCCCCTCTTTGCCTCCAAGGACAAAGTTCCTTTGTCTCCTCAGACTCCTAAGTGCACCACTCACCCTTTCCTCATCAATTCTATGAATTACCTCATCTTTCATAGACCCATCCCTGCCCTCCGTCCATTTCCAAATACAAGTGGACCCCGGTTAACGATATTTTACAATCCAGAGTATGTTCCAGGTGCCAGTACTGACCGAAATTTTGTTCCCATAAGGAATATTGTGAAGTAGATTAGTCCATTTCAGACCCCAAACATTACCGTACAAAGCACTTAATAAATACACTTACATAATTGGTCGCATTCGGAGGTGATCTTTGCGGGGTCCACTGTATCTGAATACATTCACCTCCTCCATACTCTCTCCCTCCAATCTGATATCCAATCTTTCATCACCTAATCTTTTTGTTATCCTCATAACCTTACTCTTTCCTGTATTCACTTTTAATTTTCTTCTTTTGCACACCCTACAAAATTCATCCACCAATCTCTGCAACTTCTCTTCAGAATCTCCAAGAGCACAGTGTCATCAGCAAAGAGCAACTGTGACAACTCCCACTTTGTGTGATTCTTTATCTTTTAACTCCACGCCTCTTGCCAAGACCCTGTACATGTACAAGGTATACAGGCCTAGCTGACGTCAGTGACATATAGTGGAACCTTGGTACTCAAACGTAATTCATTCCAGAAGGCTGTTTGAGTGCCGATCCGATCTAGTGTCGAACAGATTCTTTGCAACCAATTTTCTTTTTGGTTGGTTTTATTTATTTATTAACACACTGGCCGATTCCCACCAAGGCAGGGTGGCCCGAAAAAGAAAAACTTTAACCATCATTCACTCCATCACTGTCTTGCCAGAAGGGGCTTTACACTACAGTTATAAAACTGCAACATTAACACCCCTCCTTCAGAGTATAGACACTGTACTTCCCATCTCCAGGACTCAAGTCCGGCCTGCCAGTTTCCCTGAATCCCTTCATAAATGTTACTTTGCTCACACTCCAACAGCACGTCAAGTATTAAAAACCATTTGTCTCCATTCTCCATTTTGGTTGGTTGTTATCACTAATCTTCATAGGCCCCATGAAGACTTATTTATACAAATAATATAAAAACCACCAAAAAATGTTAAGAAACACAAAATAGTTTGCAGTGAACTTCTGGCAGTCATGATTGTTTGGTCAAGTGCTGAGCTTTGTTTGAGTAGGGAGCTGTTCGTGTACCGAGGTCAGTTTTGACCCAGGATGCAACCCACACCAGTTGACTAGCATCCAGGTACCTATTTTACGGATGGGTGAACATTGGACAGAAGGTGTCTTAAGGAAACACATCCTAATGTTTCCAGCTGTACCAGGGATCGACCCCTGGACCTCAGTGTGTGAGCTGAGTGCATTACCAATTGAGTCAAACCTCTTTCTAAATTCTCCAGCTTTAGATCCTCCACCTTCCTTTTGCTTGAAGATATCATACAATAACTTAATTTTTTCTTGAATCATATTAGAGTCTATAGGTATGTCTTATAGCAATTCTGCACCCACATGAGGCCTGGTCACAGACCGGGTTGTGGGGGCGTTGACCGCCGTAAACCTCTCCGGGTATACTCCAGGTATAATAAAAGCTGCAGTTTCAATACAAGATAAAAGGTATTTCACGAAATGTACAACGTTTTCGCGCTTCCTGGTGTAGCTACAGCAACAACTTCATGAATTTTCTTATCTTTTTATTTTTTATGGTCCTTACGTTCGATTCATTTATCTTGAAATGGCGGGCAGCCACAGCTGCAGACCTCAATGTACAGTATAGTGTACCCTCAACTTACAAACACATAATCAATCACAAACACTTAATCAATCTATCAACCAAAGGTTGATGGACTGATTACATCATCTCTATTTCATTTCTACTGCTCCTTCTGTATTTGACTGAAGAACCCTGCTGTGTATGGAAAATGTGTGATCAATAAAGATACCCAGCTGTTGCAACACTTGTCTTAATCTTCAATACAGAAGGTCCCAACATGTTCGTAAATTAAACACTTCTTCCCATATTATGAATGTTATACACAACTCAGGAGGTCCCCAATGTGTTCATAAGTCGAGGACTTAATGTATATATCAAGCTGTTCAACTTATGCTTGTAATGTTATAACTTTTCTCGGCTTCTTCAGAGCACTTCCAGCATCAACAGTGGCACTTGGTATGGGACCCATGTTGTTGCTTTCAGCATCAATAGTGGCACTTGGTATGGGACCCATGTTGTTGCTTTCAGCATCAACAGTGGCACTTGGTATGGGACCCATGTTGTTGCTTTCAACATCAACAGTGGCACTTGGTATGGGACCCATGTTGTTGCTTTCAGCATCAACAGTGGCACTTAGTATGGGACCCATGTTGTTGCTTTCAGCATCAACAGTGGCACTTGGTATGGGGCCCACGTTGTTGCTTCCAGCATCAATAGTGGCACTTGGTATGGGGCCCACGTTGTTGCTTCCAGCATCAATAGTGGCACTTGGTATGGGGCCCACGGTGTTCCAGCATCACTAGTGGCACTCAGTATGGGATCCATGGTGTTACTTCCAGCATCACTAGTGGCACTTGGTATGGCTCTCATGGTGTACTTCCAGCTCACTAGTGGCAAATTGGTATGGCCTTCATGGTGTTACTTCCGCATCACTATGGCACTTGGTATGGCTCTCATGGTGTTACTTCCAGCATCACTAGTGGCACTTGGTATGGCTCTCATGGTGTTACTTCCAGCATCACTAGTGGCACTTGGTATGGCTCTCATGGTGTTACTTCCAGCATCACTAATGGCACTTGGTATGGGCCCCATGGTCTTACTCAAGGTTAACAGTAATGCGCTAAACATCGTGAAAAATACCCAAGAACTGCAAGAGATCACTTTTTACTGTGATATGCAATTTACTGGAGAGATGAACTGCTCATGTGTTTAACACTGATACACCTACCATCCGACTTACGACCTGCTCGACTTACGATCACTCGCTTACGACCGTGCTTTTATGCCAAATTTCTGGGAAATAAACCAGTATTTGTGTTGTACACAGTGTTTATGCTAAACCTTACGGTATAAAATACAGTACTAACAACATAAAAAGTAAAGTAAAACATGAAATACCAAAATAAAACAATAAAATAAAGTCATTACAAAAATGTTTTGTTGATATTCAGTAGTAAAGTTTGACTTACGACCATTTCGACTTACGACCGGTTTCTCGGAACCGAACTCGGTTGTAAGTCGGATGGTAGGTGTATTTGCAACACCTGAGCTCACTGCAGTAGCAATAAGAGGTGGCTATGAAATTATTATAGCAGTACACTATGTACTAATGTTAATTTTATACAGTTATGAGTTAATATTGCATCTTTACATTTGTTTACATTTCTCTCAACTGTGATAGCTCTGTATGACCCTGGTGGGTTTAGCACTTAGTTTTAATTATAATAATCTCGACTGTGTATGATTTATAAATGTTTGCATGCGTAAGTTTTGATAAATTTTAACTTTTTATAATAGATTTGTGTATATTTTAGGGTAGTAAATAATAAAATAGAGTAGTATTTACGTATATGTTTTGCATTCAGAATGCTTAACTTTTTCTTAATTTTTTTTATATTTCTAGGCTATGCAGTTCTACAAATTTTTTTCAAATTGTCGTAAATCTCCAAAAGTTTTCCAGTATATATATTGAACAAACATTATCTCTCAGTCCACAGCAGGATTCAAACCTACACACTCTACATCAAAGTACATAGTAATTACAGCGGTGTAAGTACTATGTATACGGCCACTCCTCACTTAATGACGGAGTTCTGTTCCTAAGACCACGTCAGTAAACAAATTCGTCACTAAGTGAGGATCATACTATAATGGTAGTGGGTTTGTGTCAACCATCTTTGATATTGTTTAATGTCACTTTTGCACCGTTTATAACATTTCTGGTATATTTTTAAATGTTTATACAGTAGTGTACTGTATACAGTAATAAACGGAATAGAGGAAATTAGCTCTAATATACATTATTTAGGTATGCATTCTGGTCAGAGAGCCTGTTGTAAGTCCGAGTCGTTGGTAAACGAGTACGTCACTAAGTGAGGAGAGACTGTACTTTAATGCAGTGTGTGTAGGTTCGAATCCTGCTGTGGACCGAGAGATAATGGTTGTAAATAATTTTGCTTGTTTGTGAATTGTTCAGCATATTTACTGGAAAAAATGCGCATATAAGTGGATCCACGCAGTTCAAACCCGTGTTGTTCAAGGGTCAACTATACTTCTTAATGTTTCTGAATCCTGTATTATTCTTGTCCAGTTTAGGCCTGGTCT